CCAGACAGCAAACATTTTCCTCTCAGCAAACTTCCACAGAACTGAAGAGGTTTTATTTCCCTACCTAACTCATTTGAAAGCATCCCCACTTATGGCAAGATGAAAACAAAGAGGAATGTAGCTGCCAAAATTTCACACTTGACACTAATTTTATTTCATTTTTATTACTTAAATTTGTAAACCTTTGATAACAAAGATAGGATATTCATACATCTGCTTTATTTATTTATTCTATTAGATTTAGTGCTCCAAAACACCTCATAATATTCAACAAATATTAAATATTAAATTAAATATTAATTTAAAACAATTTTAAATTCAGAACAAATTACTATGATGGCATTCAATATAGAACATATACAAAATATACAAAATTCATCCAATCATTGGTCTTGCTGAGGTTTGGGTCTTTAGCAGCTGTTGGAAGATAATTAGGAGCTTACAGAGTAAGCTTTTAACTTAACATAGTACCATTAGATGGCTAGAGGTCAAGGACTAAATGGCAGAACATAACAAAGTAGATTGTATTCAGACAAAGACAACTAAACTGAAAGTAGACATAAAATAAAGAGACATTGGAGACAGTGTAAATTAACCAGTTTACAAGCAGCTTCCTTCTACTTCATTTTGCAGTCTCCACTTGGAATTGACCTTTAAAAGAATATAATCACTAAATAACTTAACCTGCCTATCTTTCAAAACAAAGCAAAATGATGGTAATAAAAACACAGCATTTCTGGAACTGATATCTTTTTATTCAGTTTTATTAATATCCTGCAGTCTGAAAGTGATTACTGTACTGGACATTTTTCTACACAAAGGCTCTAAGCCCAGATTGATTTTACTTTCCAATACTAATCATATTCAATGGAAATGACAAGAAGAATTAATCATAGTTATCAATTTATTATTGGTTGTGGATTATGTGCAACAATATCTTTCATATTCATAACCTGTAAGAATCCTTTGAAACATTCATGTTGTATTAAACAATTACATAGGATTCAAATTAATATAAACAGTGTTAGACTATTTAAACTACCAATTAGTAGGTTTCTTTCTTTCTTTTTTAGAAAACTGAGAAGACAACTCACATTAAAATCAATTACTTATACGCTGTTGTCCAGATAGATATCAGATTTCTTAAATTCAGTCTAGAATCCTTCCTTCCTTCCTTTCTCTCTCCCTCCCTTCCTCTGGGCAGTAATACAGTAAGATTTTTAAAAATCCTAGCTGATATTATTTATTTTAAAAAAATGATATAGTGAGTTAAACATGTTGGTGAAAGGGAAAAGTTCTAGTTATTTTTGAAGGACTTTGATAGGGAAAAAAGAAAATTTGACAATTTGAAAAAAGAGCATTACATTGTATCTCTTACTATACAGCAGAATTGGAGGAACCAAACTGAGGCCAAATTAGTAATGGAAGCAAAGAAGATCAGAAACAAAAACCAGTATAATGTAGTGCATTTAAAACTAATTTAAGAAAGTCAGGAAATCAATACCAGGATTTAGCAAGCAAAATTTATGAAAGATGATAGATAGATAGATAGATAGATAGATAGATAGATATTGTATCTTTATGTATTGCATTAGAATATTATCTATCTATCATCTATCTATCATATCTCTGTCTTTTTGTCTCTCTCTGTCTCGCTCTGTCTCTCTTTCAATCAATCAATCAATCAATCAATCAATCAATCAATCAGGTTGAATGGATAATGTAGATAGATGGCCCAGAGTCACCTTATAGGGAACATGGGAGGCACAAAAGTTAATAAATAAAATAAAATAAATAAATTTTGAACAAAAAAAGAAACAAAGCTAAAGTTAAAAAAATAAATTAATTTGATCAAAATTAATGATAATTAAGTGACAATTAAATTAACTAAATTTCACCTTTGGTCACATAAACAATTAAAATTTGTGATAAACTTCAGAGGGAATCTGGCCATGAACACTACTAGATTTCCACATATGTTTCCATTTGTAAATCCCTGGATTGAAATGAATCCAATAAAGAATATATCCAATCATCTCCAGTCATGGGACTTAAGCCAGAAAACCATTTTGATGTAGTTCTTATCTTCATCAGACATTGAAAAATGGTATTATTTTCCTAAGACCATTAATATCTCATCAATATGAATACGTACATTTATATTTTACTTTTTGAAGTTTTGATTTTGTTTCAGCTAAGATAGTTTTCTTGTTCCAACACTGCAGTTCTTAATTCTGAATGCCAAGTCCAATAAACTTTGATCACATGCAAGTACAATTCAGCTCATCCCCTCGTAACATTTGATTTTAATAAGAGAACACAATTTGTAATGTAGTCCAACATTTATGACTCATGAAAATTTATACAGCCATTACTGCTTTCAGTTTTTATCATCATTGCTTAATAATCCTTTATCTTATTCTTGAAATCTAAAAATCTGGAAAGACTTTATTATTATAAATTATTGTTAAAAATTGACTCGTGATTGTCTATGCATTTATTCAGAAGTCAGGGAATACTACCTATTGAGTTTATTCTCAGATACATAACCTTAAGTGTGTTTATATATTATTTAATCTGCTCAGTTCCACAAACCTTGATCAAGTTCCAAATATATTGGTATCTCTTACCCTGTGGTTTTAACACTGGCTTCCAAGTGTGAAATCAGATAATTGTGATTTAAAAAGTAGACCCTAGGTATACCTCTCAAGCCACCTGTTTCTCTTTATAACATATAATAACGCCAAGTGATTAAAAAAGAATGTATGTATGTATGTATGTATGTATGTATGTATGTATGTATGTATGTATACACATCCTGAAATTAAATTACAATTGCAGCCAATTTTTGTTGCAACTGAATCAGGTGATCCAGTTTTAAAAAGAGTATTATTTTTAATGGTGAAGCAATATTTAAATGTTTTTATGGCTTTATTCTTAGTGCATTCTGGATAATGTATTTCTTTCTTTTTTTCTTGTATTAAACAATTGGTTATTAAAAAAAATTAAGATGTTGGTTGCAAAAATGTGTGCTTTATATTGATATGTGTTTTCTCTTGTAGTTGCTCTATTGCAGATTGAAATGCATAATTTTCTCTGCTCTATTCTGGGCACTCGATAGATCCATGAACTGTGCTGTATTAAACACAGTTAAATACTAAGCAAAGTAGTGTTTTCATTTTTCAAATCTACTTTGGCAAGCATTGCCAGGAGAGCCCTATAAAAATAAACATAAATAGAGTTTGCAAAGTGCCATTGAGCTGCTCAGCCATCAAGCAGAACAAATGAACCTCAGATATTGGAGGCTGTAGCTCATGCGCCTTATGAGCAATTCCAAATAAAATGTAATACTGAAAAGATTGGTAAACTGTTGACATTGTGATCCTATGTTTTTACTTAGTAAAAAGTAAAACTATTGTCAATAATTGGACTTGCTCCCAAATACATAGGTACAAAATTACCCCAGAGAGAGCTAAAGAGGGCCACCACTCACCAAAACAACCTGTGCCTCCCCATTGCTCTCTCCCCATTCATTCCTTAAGGTTGTCCCTTCTTTCTTTCCAGACCTATAAGTTTCACTAAAACAGCAAAGTATGTCACATGAAGGCAGGGGCATTAAGATAGTTGCCATGAATGGTGTATTTTCAATGCCTCACAGTAGCTTTTGGGATTTGGGTCTGTGTTCCAGAGAGCTGTCCTAACTGCTTTTCATTATAGTAATTGGCCATATAGAGGTCTGCTGAGTGTCCACTAACATTAGTGTATTACTCTATCAGCTCCTGAGATGAAGGCATTGATGTCTTTCACATGCAGAATAAATCTCATACCAGTACTGGCCATGCCTTTAGCAGTCTGCTGAAACAGGAAAGTGCCGAGACAAAAAGCAACAAGGCACTATCAAGCTGCTGTTTATGACTGTAGAACCTAGTTCAGTTCCTCCCAATAACTCAGGTACAGGCAGAATGTATGGCAATCTCTCTCTCACCCTCTCTCTCAGCAAACAAGATGTTCTAATCAATGCAAAACTTTCTAATGAGCAATAGAAAGAATGTGGAAGACTTCTCTTTTAGTCAACCTTTGAAGTGCCCTTTTTGCACACTCCCATCTTTCTATAAAAACTGCAAAGCAGACATAAGAAAGATTGACTAAAACCACATGACTGCAAATCCTACAGCTTGTGATGTAGCGAGGCTCACTAAGTGCATGGGATCAAACCAAGACTTCAGAATTAAATGTTTAATTACAAAACCTTCCTTGGTAATCAAGCTAGCAAGTCAGCATCATTTCTACTAGTTAGTTAGTTATATAATCTTATACCTCCTACTGGGAAGATGTTCTGGGCTATCTTAGCTTTAAAATTAAAACTCTGGTTTACTAATTGATAGCTTATTCCAATAAAAGCTTGTAGATTTAATCTAATGGGACTATTGTTTATTTATTTTGCTCAGTAATTTAAGATAATAGTTGGCACAGATGTGGGATCGGGGTGTAGAAAGTGAAAGATCGGTGACGAACATTGTCCATTTTCTGCTATTCCCTGAAGTTTGTTCACACCTTAAGACATGAAAAGGGAAGGACGTATTTTTTTTCCATTTTTAACCTTTAACCTCTGATCCATTATTTAACCTACTGAATAATTTGTGGCCTGGAATGTCATAATTTTCCCTTTTTAGCCATAGAAAGTGCTTAAAAAGTTCAACTGAGTAGCTTAACTACTGACATTTTGGATATCTGGTTACAGCTTATTGTTTCCAGAAACTATAGGAAGAAACAGTTGCTTTAATGTAGTTGGGTGCCATAATGGGAATCTTGTCATGAGTGTGGAAGATGTTCTATAATCTTTGTGAGCTTCCAACAAATCATTTTTTTATCATCTACAATTTGTCAGGACCATAAAACAAAGCATAAGGAATAAGGTGAACCCCAATGTTCATTATCCTCAGGGTATCCTTCTTTCCTCAGCATCTCCCAGAATGACATATTTTACCAACCTCTCTTACTTCTGAGGTTTTTTAATGCCTTTACTTCTTCCTTCAGCTGATGCCAATGTCCCCAGGATGGTATATCCTCCTGGTCTTCCTGTCTTTCTGAACTTCCCAGTGCTTTTTTCCTACTATCTGCTGTCATTTGCTGATTTCCTAACATGTTATTTTCCACCAGTTCACACTTCACCAATCTACTTGGTATCTTAAATTCTCTCCTTCCCCTTGACTAGTCTTGATTACAGTGAGTTGGGTTTTACTTCACCTTCCCAAACTACTTCTGCCTGCAACAAAATAGTGTAGCACTGTCTTGCTTGAAACACAAAATAAAACAGTTCCTTTGCATGAACCCAGAATGCAAAGATATTTGCTTTGGTTCAGGAGTGAACCACCCAAGACCACCTGTTCCATGCAGACACAGAATGCTTGTCACACCCTTATTAGGTGTTTATTTGCTAGATTTATTTACTACTTTTATTCTGAACAACACAACACAGTCTCCTTTTCCTCTTTCTCCAACAACAATAACAACCACCACCACCAGTGAAGGCTGAGAAAGACTGATTGTCCCAAAGTCACTAAGCAAGCTTCTATGTCTAAGAGAGGATTAGAATTCAGTTTCCCAGCTTCTAGTTCAAAACCATTATATTAGAATAACTCTAAATATTTTTTCACCCAATATTCATTCCTTCCTTCCTTCCTTCCTTCCTTCCTTCCTTCCTTCCTTCCTTCCTTCCTTCCTTCCTTCCTTCCTTCCTTCCTTCCTTCCTTCCTTCCTTCCTTCCTTCCTTCCTCAAATCATTGTTAATTTTTAGTTACCACATAGATTTTCTCCATTGTGATCTGTCTCTATCCTGTTTTTTCCCCCCAGGTCTTCAGGTGGTGCACTTGTCACCATTACATCTAGTGACATTTTTGAATTTTGACAGAAATAGGGGTCATTTTTGTCTCTGTAAATATAAGGCATTCTAGAAAGAATGGAACCATAAGTGAGAAGGCTCATCTTTAGTATTATACCTTTTGGCATTCCCAGGGGATGGCACCCAACAGATGTCCTTTTTTTCATACCAAGGTAGATGGTCACAGATATAGCTACATACTAGTGTGCATTCAGCTTTTTAAGGACTTTAAATATAAAAAGAGGAGAAACACATGTAGATAACATATAAGAGGGCTATACTTAACCCTTCTTGCTTAGATCAGTGCTACTAACAATGAAAGTTCAGGCTTTCCAACAAATTTACAGAAGTTCATAAGGATATAGGTATTCCTATAAAAGTAAAACTCAGAGATGTTACAATTCTGGTTTTTCAAATCTGCTTCAGCGTATTCAATCAAGGTGTGTCCACTATTCCTCTAGTCACTGCTTCGAAAACAGATTTTTTTAAAAAAATAGTCATCTGTTGAAGCTTTCAAAGCTGATGTTTATTCCACTGAGTGTGTGATGATTAAGTCTTAATATATAAAAGAATTCAGTCATATATTTATTACACACTCATTCCTTGAAGTCTGCAAAAGTTTCTTCATTGAAGGAAATTAGGAAACACACTTGCTTATGGACATTTATTATCAGTAGCAAGAAACTAGGCATCTGAGTAGAGTTCAAAAGTACTATGAATTTATTTCATGCTACCTCTGCATAAGAATCTGATCTTATGCAATGGTCAAAAGAAATTGGCAGCAGACAATGAACTTCAAAGAAGTGGCTGGACTTAGGTTCTTTGTGAGAGTGTAGTGGCTTCAAACTGATGATGCATTTGACCCTGCCCTTGGGCCCAGTCTGGTCATTTATTTATTTATTCATTTATTTATTAAATTTATATGCCACCCATCTCACTATCCATTATTACACGCGCAGAGAAAATATATCATCTGTAGTCTAAAATACAAAAAATATTCCATGGTCTAAAGAAAGGCCTATAAACATACACTTCTTTATTGTTTCTTGCAAGGATATGTGATTCGTTGTCCATGAGAAATTTCACTATGATCATTAAATCTCTTTAAAGTTCCTGAATTCTTCTCAGGTATTTTTTGCGAAGTTCACCTTGAAATGTTGATTTATACACCATTTGCTGAAAGCAATGGATGGTCAAACTGCTCTAAGGAATAGCCTTATAAGACAGAAAGAAATAGAGTGTGAGAGAGTAATTTAGCAAGATTATTAGCTATTCTTTGAAGGCTAGAGTTGTTATGAATGTCAACCAAAATAATATTTAGATATAAAAGCAAATCTTCCTGCATAGGGAAAAACGTTCAGAAATTTTGGGAGACCTCCTTCTCATTTATTCTACATAGATAAAATTTTATATTCAGCCCACATTTTTCCTTCGGCTGACATTCATTGGCAGTTCTAGTCTTCATGAGATTTCTGTAAGTTATATATGACTAGTCTTAAAAATCAAATAAACTGCAATCTATTCTTATCTTGCAAGTTACATTGACTCAGTTGTCAGCATTAGTTCTTCAATCTACTAGTAATGTCCAAGGGATCATTTTGTCAAAAGTGACTTGAAGACTTCTCAACATGTCATCTTGTTGCCTTTTAAAATCAAATCAATTTCAAACATAGAGACTGGAATGACACATTGTATGGCTGTTGCATTTAGACTACTTGTTCTGTTCCTTTTCCAAACAAAATGATAAAATAGTACACATTATTATATGGCATTTGTATTCTCAAACTCAGCAGAGCATCATTCTTTATTACTATTATTTTTATTCATTATTGAAATGCATTTTAGGCAGTAGCAGCAAATATATACAGGTAGTCCTTGACTTACAAACACAAGTGGGGCCAGATTTCCATTGTCAAGCTGATAAGTGGGTTGCATACAATTTCACAATCTTTTTTGCCATGGTGGTTAAGCAAATCACTGCAGTTTTCAAATGAATTGTGTGTTCATTAAGTGAATCCAACTTCCCCCATTGGTTTTGCTTATCGGAAGTTGGTAGGAAGGTCGCAAATAACAATCACATGATCCCAGATTGCTGTAACCATTGTAAATACACACTGGTTGCCATGCATATGAGGATGCTGCAATAGTTATGAGTGTGAGAACTGGTCATAAGTCCCTTTTTCATTGCCATTGTAACTTCAAATGGTCACTAAACAAATGGTTGTAAGTCTGGGACCACCTGTAGTTAGGATGTCTGATTTATTTATTTTTAAACTCAATTGCATATCTTGATTTTTTTGAATTTGTATTTTACCTTAACAAAAAATATTTTAAAGGTAATTATTAAAAGTTATGTATTCTGTTTTATAAGGGCGGCATGGTGGCTCAGCGGTTAAGAACCTCTCACTTAGGAATATATATTACTTTCTTTTTATATTTCTTCTTAAGGTAGTAATACATTTGTAAACCATCAAGGTTTGGTTAGATTTGGGGAAGTTTCTGTTTTCTCTTTTAATCCTACTTAATAAATAAATATTTACTTAATATTTGAATTAAAATATTTTTAATCCTAAAAAAAGAAAAATAATTCTTTACTTTCTAAGGTTCCTGGATAATATCTTTCTGGAAGACCTGAAGGTGTTTCACCTAGAAATAAAAGCACAGACTATGTCACTGTATTAGGACACATGCAAACAATTTATATGCTTTTTTATTTAGCTAGTTAAGGGTAACCCAATATTTGAAAAGGTATTCCAAAATCTGACTCATCTTTACAACAAATATGGTCAACTAAAACTAGCCAACAATAAAATGAATGTGCCCAATTTCCTTCATACATGATGTTACATGTTTTTTTTAAAAAAAGAACAGAGATCATGCTTACTGGATCTTTTAAAACATGAATAGCTATATGGACTTTTATCTACATAAAGTGAACTTACAATTCCTATTGTAAAAAAATATGAAAATGAAATGTTTTAAAATATTAGCAATATGGGGGAAGGTGAGGAAGACGAGCATACTTATGTGATCAGATTACCATATGGAATATCCTACAATGAAGATTTGTGAGTCTGCCAGTTTCCTTGAAAAATCATGTGCTCTCATCTAAATATGTCTCCAGCCCATTAGTGTTAGCACCATGATTAACTGGAATCAGAAGGCTGCTTTAATTAAGACTTCTCTGCATAGGTGTGAACTATGTGGTTAATATCCCCGTTATATTTTAATGATATAATGAGATGATTTATCCTTAAAAGAAAAATGTGTATGCACCAAAATCCTGTGCTTTTGTTTGTTGGTTTATGATCAACTATTATTCTCCTTATTTGTGTGTGTGTGTGTGTGTGTGTAAAATAAATGTAAATAAATAAAGAAGTTTTACTCAATGCTAATCTTAGTTGCCAATCCAATATTTTTTTCTGCTACATTTGAAAAACAACTGGTGAAAGTTTCAAAAAGGAAACTTGCATTGAAAGAAATCCTGATTCTGAAAGCTTTGTTAATTTTCTATTCTCAATGGAGACCCCCTTTACTAAGCTTTTCCAGATCAACTTTTGATTATACCAACAGGTTAGAGGAAAGGCTGTAGATTCGAAGAAGAGGGTCTGAGCTTCTGGAGAAGGAAAGAAAATAAAATTTTGTAAAAGGTAAAGTGCTGAAAAGTGTGGCTAAACTGAATTGGGAAAGTATATAAACCATGGCATTCAATCCAGCTCTTAAAAAATATTTGATTATGGTTTTGAGCATGTCTGTTTTTAAAAGAGCTGTAATTAAAACAACCCTGATTTTCATTAGAAATAATAGCGGAACCAACCACAACTGATATTTTTCTATATATCATAAATTTATGTTGTAATACAAAAGGACTGCACTGGATCCCTAAAAAAAAAAAAAAACAACAAAAAACACCTGTCTATATAAGGCCCAAATTAGCCAGAATGTTTATCATGCTTGAAAACATGGAATATTGCAATGCTACAATGAAAATAAATTGTAAATGTGAAGAGATCAATTTTTGCTTTCAAATGACACATAATTGCCATTACAGTGGAAGTGGATTTGATTAGGAGATATTATACCCATTTATGCTTAATTAGGACTAGAGGAAATAGAGGAACATTATGTGAACTAACCCTTCTTTCTTGATGCTAACCTGTGTACCATAAACTAATTCTTATAAGCTTGTACATAATAGGCAACATCTAAATTCCAGCTGCCTGGAATTATCTGTACTGTAGAGAAAGATCTGATGTGATAATAG